ATTTTCTTCCCCAAGTTAGGGATGCTTTCAGCTATTTTTTCTTCGAGTAAGTTTTCTGACCCTTTCTCTTTTCTCCTTCAGGGACCCCTATAATGCAAATATATGATCTGCTTGAGGTTGCCTCATAAGTCCTTTAAGCTATCTTTACTCTTTTTCTTCTTCCTCATCTTCTCCCCTCTTCTTTTTCTTCTCCATGTTCTTCCTCTTTCTCTTCTTTACTGTTCTTATTGGATGAATTCCACTGTCTTGTTTCCAAATTTTCTGATCCTTTCTTCCACGTCATCTAGTCTCTATTTAACCTTTCTATTGTATTTTTCAATTCCATTATTATATTCTTTGCTCTGTGATTTTTGTTTGGTATTTTCTTATATTTTATGTTGAAATTCTCACTTTGTTCTTGCATTGTTCTCCAGACCTCAGTGAGCACCTTTATGACTTACTTTGAATTCTTTATCAAGTAAACCACTTACCTCTGTTTTGTTAAAAAAAAAAAAAAAAAAATTCTGAGGTTTTAACTTGTTTTTTCATTTGGAACATACTCCTTTGTTTCTACATTTTCCTTGACTCTGTGTTGGACTCTATGCATTTGATAAAACATCCACTTCTCCCAGTCTTGAGGGAGTGGCCTTTTGTAGGAGATGAGCTTTTCATTCAACCTGGCCCCATCTCTTGGTTTCTCTCAAACCTTTCTGATTTGTTAAAACAGCCAACTTTGTACCTATTAGTTGAGGGTGTGTCAAGTACTTTCCCAAAGGGAAGGATCTCAGTCAACATTTAGATTCAGCTGAGTGGAAACAAGGCCCTCAGGCAGCAGCTTTGAAAATATGCAAATAGGGGCGCCTGGGTGGCTTAGTCGGTTGAGCTTCCGACTTTCGCTTAGGTCATGATCTCGCGATTCGTGGGTTCGAGCCCCGCGTCGGGCTCTGTGCTGACTGCCAGCTCAGAGCCTGGAGCCTGTTTCAGTCTGTGACTCCCTCTCTCTCTGACCTTCCCCTGCTCACGCTGTCTCTCTCTCTCTCTCTCCTAGAAATAAATAAAATATTAAAAAAAAAAAAAAGAAAATATGCAAATAAATCTCTTTCAGGAGAAAATTAGATTTCTCTCTTCCTTGAGCCCTGGGGTAATAGCCAATTAAGAGCCATTTCTTTGTTTGCTGCTTTCCTACTGAACCCATGAACACAAGTCCTGCTGGCTCCCAGAACCATGCTACCAAAGGATGTGTCCTCTGGGTAGTAGCCACAAAAGTCTGTTCTGGCCTTCTCTTTTGTAGAACATTTTTAGATATGGAAAGATGGGAACATGGTTTCAACATAGAATCCATCAATGATAAGTTCATATAATCACTAATCTGAAGAATGAAAATAATTTATATGACACCAGGCAAGATTGTCAGGGCTTGGTTATAAAATAAAAGTAATCCCAATTCTTTTTAACTTTATTATTTTCAACAATTATAGTTTGTATTACTGTGTAGAAAATGAAATTAGTCTTAATTTTTGTAGCATTTTTAAACTTCTTATATAGATAAATTTATATATGATATGGGAAAAAGGAATTTCCCAGACAGTAAGTCCTCATTTTTGTTTCAGAACCCCATTAGTTATTAGGTTGTTTTTTTTTTTTAAATGTTTTCCATTCTACAGGAAAGCCTTAACAGAGATCTAGTTTCTTTCAACAACATCTTTGATCAAATCAAGCTTAAAAGCTATTTTGTTTTACATTTGTAATGTGTGGCTCCAAAGAGCCTTAGTTCATAAATACACTAGTTCCTTATTTCAGATACTTGCCACTTACCTCTTTATACAATAACTATACAACTAATAAAAAACTAATCACTTGTGTTTTTCACCTATAACTTGTCTAAGTAATGATTTAGTCTTTAAAGACACAGATACAATACCTAGTAAGCAGTAATAGAAAGAAATAACTTCTCAAGCCAAAATAAAGTAATGATACTGTATTTTCCTTGGGAAATAATCATGACATGGAGCACTATTATATATTACACAAAAAATCTTGATGTTCTTGAATATACTACATTTAGTTCCCAAAGATGCTAGCTAGTGGTACCTTACATGCATATAGCACTTCATAATTAACAAAGTGCATCTGTAGGCACTTGAACTCCCTAACCTCTCTGTGAGATTATATACAATTATATATGTTATGTTGACATTACTAAGAGAACAAAGTTGATTGTACCTTGGAACATTGTGAAGAAGTCCTTAATGCTTCATTTTGCCAATTTAAAACATACCACAGATAGAGAGGGGGAAGATGGTTCTATATATAGAACCATAAGTAGACAGATGTCACTTGTTTGATATCTAATATGTTAACAAACCAATTACTTGGTCTGCAAAAGGTGGAAATGAATTGGGGAAGTATATGTATAAGGATCTGAAAAAAATCTGGGAAGCATGGTAAGAAAATATATCCAGTAAGATAGTAAGGACATACTTATGGGTGTGCAGTACTTTCTTTGAAATAATTGTATCATTTTCCTATATTACTGAAAAAATTGTATTTGTTTTATTTCTTATTTGCTCATATCACATATATTTTGCATGACTGCCTGTGTTTTCTTTCCTTTGTTTCCCCTTATTTCAGTACTAGATGAAGCTCTCCAAGAGCAATTCTATTTAAGTTAGATATAAACAGATCTCTGAGTAATGCTTTTTTGTTTGTTTCTATAGTTTATTCAGTAATCGTATGCATGAAGTTTAATTTTGCCAAGATATGTGGGTTATTTGCATCTCAGAAAGACTACTGAAGTAAAAACTATAAGTGGAAAAGATAACCATACTTACTTGCATTAGTGTCTCCCTTTTAAACATTCCTAAAATAAATAGGCGATAGTTATGGAATTGAATTTTTTTCCGATGTAAGTGGAGTAAGAATAGAATACTTGTCACTAGTAAAATTTCTGCAGACTAGTAAGAATAGTTGAGACATTTTCTTATGCTTTTATAAAATAGAATTATTTTTGGTTTTTCAGATGATCTTCTCAAGCTTTTAGGGATTATGAGAACAGAGGATATATGAAAACTATAATCAGGGAAAAGTTAATATTTTCACCTAAAATAAATTATGGATTAGGGGACTATAGGAGAAAAATGCTAATAAATATAGTCATTTTAGGATTACTTATTACTCTTATCATATCATGGAGAGGTTTTTCATTTTTCTAGGATTTTCTGCAATTTTTTCTTTGACTCTTTTACTCCTAAAATTTCCTTGCTTCATGTTTTTTATTTAGTTCTTACATTTTTATCTTTTGCTATTACTCTCAGTTTAAGATTTTTGCCTGATATTAATGTATATGACCTTCTATTGACTATTTTACAACAAAAGTTAAGTATTCTCAAAAGTAAGGTTTTTATTCTGGGCATAGTGGACATGAAGTAGAGGCCCATTTACTATTAATATTATATCTATTCATAAAGACTAGAAGTTAAATATTATATACATATGTATTTAAGAATATTCAAAATTGAGCCGGTTTTATTTTTTTAATTATCCCTCTCAGAGAATATTTGCATTGGTTTTTTTATTTATCTTTCCAATGTTTCTTTATACAAATGAAAGCAAATACAATATATTTTTATACTCTCCATTTTATACTAAAGGTATATATTCAGTCAAATAATATGCTCTGCTCTACACATTGCTTTCATCACTTAATGATATGACCTGTAGATGTCTTCACATCAGTATAGGTATCTTCCTTATTTTCTTCTTACAGGTGTATAATGTTCCATCAAATCAGAGTGCCTTAGTTTATTTAACTAATACTTGACTGCTGTTAAACGCATGGGCCATTTATAATCTCTAAATTTTTTAAATTACACCACAGTCAATAAACTTGTACTTGTGTTCTTTCATACTGTGGAGGAGGAGATTATGTATGATATAGTATCAGAAGAGGGATTGCTGAGTCAAAGAGAAAATACATCTGTATTTTTGTAGATATTGTCAGATGTCCCTCCATAAGTGGTTGTTTGCTTTTGAGCAGGTTTTAAAGGAAATAAACTATATGGTTTATTACCTTTCTTGCCCATTCCAACTCCAACTTAATCTAACCTTGGTTCCACTCAAAATTTTAAAACGCTAGTTCCTTCCTAACCAATTCTTTACTCTGCCAGAGATAAATGCCTACTTGCCTGTAGCATATCAGGCTAATATTAATATATTTTAATTTCTAATGTCAGAAATCAATCCAGGTGACTTTCCTTAACTTTTCAGAGCTGGATCATCAACATTACAATCTGTAGATATAATTAGTCTACCTGGTAATTGATAATAATAACCAGGCTAGAATCTAGTACACTCCTCAGATTACTTGTTTTCTCTGCTCTGTGTTAAGATATCCTTAATAATTAGCTTGTTCTTTTAGGCTGATTGACATGCTGATTAAACCATATAATTTTCCTTTTCTTTAAAACATAGCAAGATTCCCTTGTTATCTTCATGTATATTCATGCCAGTTGCAGGGAAAACTTACCAGGTCTTTCCTTATTTAGGTTTGTTGTCAATATATGGAAAAGGTGGACCCTGGCATACAGAGGCCCAAGCCTCCTATTGCATTAAACTACCAGGTCATGGACAGCCCCAGACTCTAAAGCAAAAGACCTAGGCCTATGTCTTAAATGATAGCTTAGAGATATAGCTTCGAGTCATACAATTTCCTGCACTTAATTATCCCATCTGTAAATTGTGGAAAATCTTACTCATCTCACAGAATGGTTTGTGACAGTGAAATGAAAGAGATAATGTAAGTGAGTGAGTTTTATCAATTCTAAAGCCCTTTTAAGTAAAAATGTGATGGTATATTTATTTCCTCTAACGGAGGCAAACTATGACAATATCCTAACCTCTCTCTCATCCATCTTTGTTTTTTTCCATATTTAGGGTACATTGCTAGAAGAAAAAGTGTCACACCTTTTTGAAAAGAAAAAAACCACAGAATATTTAGGAAAATATTTTGTTTTCTCTTTTAGCTATAGACTTCAATATGATGAAAATTTTAAAGAATCCAAGAGCATATACAACGTCCACATTCAAAGAAGAATCAAATATATCAAGACTAACAACAAAGGTTTGGAGCATAGTAATCATAAAAAATGTTCTTACTTTTTTTTAAATGTTTATTTTTGAAAGAGACAGAGACAGAGAGAAACAGAACACAAGTCGGGGAGGGGCAGCGAGTGAGGGAGACACGGAATCCAAAGCAGGCTCCAGGCTCCAAGCTGTCAGGACACAGAGCTCGAACTCACAAACCATGAATGAGATCATGACCTGAGCTGAAGTCAGACGCTAAATGCACTGAGCCACCCAGGCATCCCCAAAAATGCTATTACTTCTTTAATTTGCTATAATTAGTTGAACAGCTTCATATAGGCAATGTTCATTATTACACTCCTGATATATATTTTAGAAAAATTTAATGATCAAAATGATTTACTGGACAGGTTAATCTTAATGTTAAAATGTTTTATTGTTTTTTTAAAGTATCCTCTGCATACCTAGGTGGCTCAGTTGATTAACATCTGACTCTTGATTTCGATTCAGGTCATGATCTCACAGTTTGTGGGGTTAAGCCCTGTGGCTGGCTCTGTGCTGACAGGGCAGCAGTACCTGCTTGGGATTCTCTCTCTCCCTCTCTCTCTCTGCCCCTATCCTGCTTGCAGTCTCTCTCAAAATAAATAAATAAACTTTAAATATTAAAAAAAATAAAATATCCTCATCTCTAATGGAAAAAAAACATGGCATTCATCTCTTCCCACACTTGTGGCACTGCTTTTCCTTGGGTTGATATACAAACATGGCTGTGATCTCAATAAGTTCTAGTCAAAGTTGCAGGGAAAACCTCGCAAGAGTTTTCATCAAACTCCTCTTAAGCCATGGCCCTGGAGTAACTGGCCATATGTGAGTCCTGTTACTGATAAGTCTTGGGTACTTAGTTTTTGCACATTTCTGGTGGTTCCTCCCTATTAGAGATCCTCATGGACTTGGCCACCTTGTGTTGCTTTAGCCAAGATTTGATGAGTTTATAGGCTTGAAATTCTGAATTTGATCTCTTACTAGACAAATAGGTTTTAAATTGATTGCAGTCTTTATTGCTAAAATTTTGTCTGATTTGTCTAGTCAAGTCTGACCATAAATTTTAAATTATGCCTATATACAAATCACTTTCTGAAGTCAACACTTATACATTTCCCAGTCTTTAATAATCCAGATATATAGAATGTTTTCCAACCTTTACAGTGCTGCCAAGGTGATTTGTACTTAGAATAGAAACTGATGATCTCTAGGAGTCAATTTGGGATCAATGACAATATCCCACCTTTAGGGTTGGGGAGGCATGTACAATATTGCTGGATTTAGAAATCAGGAAATGTAATAGATTCATCTCTGGTAGTACACCACATCGTTATATCATTGGCCCTGTCCTATGCAGACTATTTCGTCAACAACAATATGGTTGCCATTTTTATTAGATATGTAGAGGTCATAAACCTTCGAAGAACTATGAATACATTGGATGACCAAAAGTTTATAATAGTCGAGTAATAGGCCTAATCTTAGAAGATAAATTTTTATTATGGAAAAAGTATAAAGATCCAAACAGCTGCATACGTACAGGATAATAAAGCCTTGGGTTAGAAGCATCTGAAAAGATTTGGAAATTGTTTTTTACAGTAAGCTTTGTATGTATCTACAGAGAATGTTGTTGACCATCAAGTCTTACTGCATTCTTGAGCTGTTTAAACAGACATATGGGATCTACTCTATGCTGATTAAACAATGATTGTTTATTATGTTCATTTGGGAGCCTTGCATTGTAAAAGGGTGTAGACAAACAGAGGAGTTCTAAATAAAAAATAATCAGGATAATTAAGGTTTCTGAAACAGTATCTTTTGAGCAATGGCCAAAATATTTAAAGGCATTTCTTTCTTACAAAAGAAACGACTCTGGTGGTCATAATAACTGTTTTTGAATATGTAAAGAGCTACTGTAGGAAAGCAGGATTAGGCTTTTTCTGTGTGGCTCAAAATAATTTTTTTTACCAATACAAACCACAAAGTTCTTACGTTTACTGGTAAGTGAAAGCTATAGGGAGACAGTTTTGAGTTCAACCTAAAGACTTTCCTAAGCACTAGGGTTGTCCAGATGCTGAATGGGTGCCTGTCGGTTCCCAATGCCCATATGAGCATTGGCCAAAGGCACATTCAAACTTCAAAAATCAAAGTTTACCTTTCTAGTCATTGACAGCAATTATCCTTTAATAAATTAGCAAAACAATGAAATACCAAAATCCTCCTTTGGATTTTCTCGCTCATCTCTTATGACTCTTTCTAAGTTTATGGCATTGCTTGGTTCTAAAATTTAGTATTAAGTTGACTCTTGACTGTAAACACCTTGGTTTGTAGGATCTTAAAGTTTTCTGATACTTTTCTACCATTATCTTTTGTGGGGCAAAGGGAAGCAGTGAGGTTTCTTTCTGCTAATTGTTTTTGGCTCTGTGGTCTCTAGGAGTCCTTTGCACAACTGCAAACCTTCCTCTTTAAAGTACCTGAGAAAATGGCTAAGCCTCCACAAAACGCTGGATATACACTTAATGCCCAGTTCTGCTTATATTGGGTTGAAGTACCCTTAAAAACCAGGGGTCCTTCTAAGGAATAAGTAGATATTAACTGTGGTTTTCCTATGTAAAAAGGGAAAACTGTGGAAAAAAATAACAAATGTCTGTGTCTCAAATTTCAGTAAGATCAAGTTCCTATCTTACAATATCCAAAGAAACCAAGAAGAAGGTCATGAAGCATCTTTCTCTCTAGACAGGCAATATTTCCTTTTAGTCTAGACAAAGCCTGGCCTGGTTTTTGCATGCAATTTAAAGATCAGGCTAGATACAATCTTATGTGAATTTTCCCAGGAGATTGAGACAAAGTAAATGATTTACATCATAGAAAACATGCCTGATTTTGACACTGAGTTTTCACCATCAAAGAATTGCTTTTGATTATGATAGTCCCACTGTTCAAAATAATTCTGGATCTTTTCTGAAGGAAAGCAATGAAAAAGTGACCATAAGAACTGTATGTATCAGCAAAAGCAAATGAAAATAAAATCTTATTTCCTCACAGGAAGTGGAGTCAATAATAAATTTCTCATATAGGCATTACAAAGATGGAGGAAAGACTTAATGTATGAATGGTTGCTATACTAACCTTATATCCCACAAGAAGTCAGTAATAAAATCTTGGAGCAATTATATTTATGGTCACCTTCCTTGACAGAGTAACAGGGAATTCATGGAAAGTTGTTTTGTTTTTTGTTTCCATTAGCACTTTGATTATGTTATCTACATGTCTTCTGGCTTCCTTTGTTCTGGTAAAAATTCAGCTTTCAACCTTGTTGGGCTTCCCTGGTATGTTGTTTTTCTCTTGCTGGTTTTGAAATTTCTTTTTGTCTTGGTCTTTCAACAATTTGAGTATGAGGTGTCTAGGTGAGTATTTTTCCTCCTTGGAGTTAAGCTTCTTGGATATGTTTTTCGCTAAAGTTTGGAAGTCTCAGTCATTTTTGTCTTCATATTTTTCCTGTCCCTTTTTCTGGAACTCTATTCATTTTGTTCTTTCTTTTTTTCATTCTATTCTTCAGACAGAATAATGTCTATTGACCTATCAAGTTAATAAATATAAAGGCTATTAAGAGCCTTACTGTACAAACTCATAGACTCATACTTTAATAAATTTCTTTCATTAAGAAGGTGCTTTGTGAAATTTCTTTGTATTTCTTTTAGTATACCAGATAATAACCTATATTTATAGTTACAATGCAGTTAGATTTATTTACAGTTATTTAAAAAACACATAAAAGTAAAAATTGACTTGATTTTTTTTTCCCCTTTACAGTCCCATTATATTAGCACTGGTCCAGAATTTAACCGTGTGCTCTTCAATTTTGGAAGTCAGAGTCCACTGGTTTTATATTATCTTAAGATGCATGAGTTAGCTGGTATTTCCAAGGCTCCTAGACAAACCAAGATTAAACTCACCAAAATACGGCAAGAACCATATCCTTTTTTAAGCTTTGCTTTAATGTGATCTGTTTCTAAAAGGTTCTAAACTTGTTGCTTAATATCTCAATCAACAAAAGACTTTAATACATTTTTTTAGCCAATGTTTTTCACTTAGCATTTAATTATATTCAAAATGCCTGTACCATGTTTGGCTAAAGTATTTTCTCTTTTAGATCTAAGGCTATGATTTTGCATGTAAGGAAGATTTTAAGAAAGATAAAACCCAGGAACTTTAAAAACTGATATATGTAGCTTTTTAGCAAAAGACTATCTTTGCAACTTTACTATTTAGTGTTCAGTTTCAAGCATTTGTACTCTCCAGAGGAAAGTTTCAAACATGTTTTAACTGTGTAATTCTTTGTCCCAATGAAAATTTATCAGAAGGGTCAGTATTTAAAATATAAATGAACTTGGAGCTCTTTCACTGCAGCCAGGTGGGGAGCCCAGAGTTCTGCCCACTTATACTCCTCTGTGCACTCTGCAAACCCATGCTGGCCCAGGCCTCACTGGTCACTCAGATGAACCTCAAAGGGATCTACTACAGTAGACTCCGAATTGAAGTGTACACACATACATAGCTCTGGGTAGGAAAAAAACCATGTATGTATATAGATAGATATACATATAGTCTATATATAAAGAGAGAGACTCTTATTTATATCTATTTCTATCTTTAAAAGTAAAAATGCCTCAACTTTACTAGTATTTAGTAAATAGGTATTTTACTCAGCTGACATTTCAGTCTGAACTCTACTGTTCTAAAGGATAATGATGGCATCTTTGCTCTTGTGTTTTCTGAGTATCACAAAGTGTTGCTGTTTCCTTTGGGTGGTAAGCAGATTTCTAGATTATATCATCTAGTTTAACTAAATTAATACTCACTAGTGAACCAATAGCTTTAAGAGGCTCTTGGAAAGAAACTTTGCATTGATGACAATATTTATAATGCAAGAATAAATTTTTTTAAAGAATAAAGAAAATGTCATAATGATTTTTCTCCTCCTCCTCAAAGGAGATCCTTTTCAGCCATACTAAGAAAAGAAATTAATGATGAGCCAATCAATTCTGCCAAGATGTAGGCTAAAAAAACAGAAATAAAAATTTTCAAGATGACTACTTGAAATGTGGATATACGTAATTATTATAAATAATGAATCTAGCCCTAAGTGTATGTTATACTTTTCAATATTAGCAAATGATTGTATGATGCCAGTTTAATTTACAAGGCATTTATAAACAACTATGTAGACATCAAATCTCTACAATTTGAGGATAAAAAGGTTTGGCATACCATTAATAAATGTAAAGTTAAATTTTATTTTCACAATATTTTATCTGTTTTTGATTTGTAGACTACATATATTTTTTTATTTTTTTAACGTTTATTTTTGAGAGACAGAGCATGAGCAGGGAAGGGGCAGAGAGAGAGGAAGACAAAGAATCCAAAGCAGGCTCCAGGATCTGAGCTGTCTGTACAGAGCCTGATGCGGGGCTTGAACCCACGGATTATGAGATCATGACCTGACCCAAAGTTGGATGCCTAACCAACTGAGCCACCCAGGCTCCCCTATATTTTTTTATAATACATGTAATATATTAGTACAGATTAATATTACATACCTCATCAATTGAAAATTATACCAATATGGGAGTGTGCTCACATAGCTGTTATTCCTGGGACCTATGATCAAAATGTGTGCTAGCAGAGTCAGAGTCTCAGGACTCTATATCGGACACTTCTTCTTCCACATTTCAGAGAGGACAACTCCCAGAGATGAAGTGACCACATGTACATGGAATTAACTTGGATAATTAGTATTAGCACAAAAATGACAAGAGTCCTGTGACAGTGAGCATTTCACAGCCACTTTACGGATAAGGAAAACAAAGCACAAAGAGGGTAAATGGTTTCCCAGATAGTTCATGCAGCAGAGCTAGCATCAGAAACTTCTACCATTTCCTGAGCCATGCCTGTTTTCCTTACATGGTGATCTGGCTAGAATTCTGAGTGTGATAATGGTTGGCAGCTGAGCCCAGTAATGTTTTCCCCAAGATAACGATAGCTCCTAATGAAATTTATGTCCAGATTTCCCATAATTATATGTGATGACTGTATGATTATTGAATATTTCTATCTCACTCAAATTTTACTTTGAAGCTATTCAAGGTATAGGACATTTTTAATAGTTTTCTCTGAGATTGCTTATTGGAGTCCTGTGGCTTTCCTGAAGTGGAGAGACCATACTTTGCAGTAAGTACATCAATTCAGAGTGAAGGAGTAGGAGAAAATAGAGAAGACAGAGAAGGAGATAAATAATAACAAAAAAGATAAATATAATTAATTGTATTTGAGGTAGGCAGACTCTAACATGGTCCCCAATGATCCCCACCTTCCGGTGTTCATACCTCAATTACCTTCCATTGATTGTGGGCTGAACCTATGATTTGCTTCTGATAGGATATGGCTAATACAATGGTGTATCACTTCTGAGACTCAGTTGCTAAAAGACTGACATCAGTCCTGCCAGAATTTCTTGCTCACTCTCCCAGAGCCCTAGTGGGTAAACCAGCTATTATGTTTTGAGCTGTTCTGTGGAGAAGGCCACATGGTAGCAAGGTGAGGCCTCCAGCCAACAGCCCATAAGAAATTGAGACCTTTGGTCTAACAATCCACTAGGAAATAAGTCTTGCCAAGAACCACATGAGTGACTGACCTGTGAAGTAAATCCTCCTTCAGTTGGGCCTTGAGATTACTTGGTCCCTGCCCACACTTTGATTGTAGCTACTGAAGAACCCTGAGCCAGAGGTATCCACTGACCTATGCCCAGATTCCTGACCCACAGAAGCCATACAATAACAAACATTCGTTGTTTTAAGCTGCCCAGTTTAGGGATAATTTATTAAACATCAGTAGGTAACTCAACAGTGTTTGAGCAAAAGTCTAGATTCAGATGGACCTCTTCAATAAATCCAAACATTTATCATGTTACAGTGTAAAGTTCACTTGTTTTTCTCACCCAATAGAGAACATTCTTTTCCTTTATGTCCCAGAATGGGAAAAAAGTATCTAGCATATGATATATGTTAAATAAATATCTGATGGTGAGTATTGAATGGTTTTGTATAAAGATAAGACCAGATTTCATTTTATGTTTTTAATGATATTATTAAAATTAAGAAAACTAGAGGACAAGGATAGGGATAGAAATTTGGGAGTTATTGGTACAAAGTGCATCTTTGAAGTCATCATTATCAAAATACTTTTCAAATTTTATTGAACAGTTTCTGTGTGCCAAGCATTCTTTTGAGTGCTTTATATTTATTAACTCCTTTCATTTTCATGTCAGCTTCTGAGATAGATACTATTATTGTCTCTATTTTAAGATAAGTAAACTGAGGCACAGGAAAGGTGACTTGCTAAATGATTGCACTTGGCCTCTCTCCTTGGTCGTCTGGTTTCATAGCCAATACACTCTCACACTCTGATAGCTAGTTGCTTTCCCGGGGGAATGTGTAGCTCCACAAAAAGATAAAAGTTTATTCTCATCTTTTAAGGATAATCACAACTATGGTTTGGGGCAAGGGTGATAAGAGGCAGGGAAGTCAACAGAGGACCCAAAAAAAGGGATGTCATGATAATGTTCCTCATATTTCAGAATAGTTCTTTCCAATTTCTGCAGTTGGTTCTGCATTAAATCATTTTGGAAGCTTTTCTCCAGACATTTAAGATTGCATGATCATATGTGTTCTGTTTCAAAATCCTTTTATTTACTTAATGAGAGATTTTAATGATATACTTTCTCTAACTCAAAAACAGAGCAATATCATATTTGATCACTATGCAATTTTTAAATCATTGTCTTGTGGAACAGATACATTTAAAAATAAATTTAAACATTAGAGGTAATATTTCTTTGGATTTGGAGGGACTTGCCCAAGTCCTAAGGTAGATTGTTTTATTGTCAATGTATTAGAATTTGTATATAAACACAGAGAAGACTGGAAATGTTGGTGGAGAGGAGGAGGAAGGGAACAAATGTAATAGTACTTCACAGGGGTGCTCATGATTCTGACAGGATTTTTAATGTACATTCATAAGGAAAATAGTAAATGTTTTAATGTTGATATAAAATGTATTAGTAGAAAATTTGAATTTTTTTACGAATGACCTTTGAGTATATTTTTCAAACTAGATTACTTAGTATTAGAGTTATGAGTAAAACAGGAAAAAAAATGTTTACTTCTAGGACCCAGAGCTGAATATATAATGTATCTTTAAACTGCATAGAATTTGGAGCTCCTAATTTTCCCTTCTCACATTGACTGTGTTTTTGCACATCACCCCAAGTTCTTTAATGTGTTGAGAGTAGACTAACAAAAACAACAACAAAAAATACCGAATAGCCTGATGATTTTTTTTACATGTGAAACACAAATTACTTTTTGAAAAGAGATAAAGAAGACTTGGGAACAAAATGTTGGAGTAGTTTGTGTGGTTCCTCTTAAAAAGGAATGTCTATCGACTGCATCTGTATTTCTAACATGAATTTAGAAGACTCACATTTGTTGCAGTTTAGAAAAAACTCTGAACTCAATGCAGAATGATACAGAGAGCTTAGTGTTACTACGAAGACATGCTCCCACCATCACACATGCATATACAGACTTATTAACATGTAAAAACTGTCCAGGGGTGGATCATTAAGCCTTGCAATTGCAAATAATGTGGGATATAACAAGACCTAAACCAGCATAAAAATAAAAGCTATACAAAGAAATCGTCTGTTTTGAATTATCTGTGATGTGGGAGAAGCAAGTAGCCAACAGTGGGGAAAAAAAAGAAAAGGAAGAAATCCTCAGACTCATGAAAGGTCACCACTTCTGTCTAACATTTGATCTGCACACAGCAAGAGCCCAGTGGGAAACTCCTTAGACCCATGTGCAACTTCTTTTCACTCTTATTTATAAAAATATTTCCAATAACCTTTGTCACA